TAAAACTAGAGGTATTTTGTTTAGATGAACACTTTTACTTAAGAGCTCAAGATTAATTAACATAGTAAAAGTTTTCGTAAATTAAGTTTTTTATTTATCAATCAAAAATTTTAAATTTTTTTGAAAATCAAATATTTGAATTAAATATTTGATTTGATTTGATCAAATCAAATCAAATCAAATCAAAGAAATATTTGATTTGATCAAATTCAAATCAATCCAATATTTGATTTGATTTTAGGAACCCTAGTCACTGTATTCTTCTGATCTAAATCTAATAAAGTATTTATAAAATGAAATTGATTATTATTTGTAATAACTTTCTAATAATATTATTAATGAAATAAATTTGTAAAATAAGATTCAAAAAGTATAAAATAAGATCAATGACAATTATATTTTAAAGCTAATCAGCATGATGTTATAATGAATTAAGAATGTTTTCAAAACTAAAGAAGAATATACTAAATAATAAATTTTAGAAAAAAATAATAATAATTTATTTAAAAAAAACTAAAAAAAAATTTATATAATTAATTTTTTGATTTTGTACCAAAATTATAATTTTATAAAGTTTATGAAAATTTAAATTTTTTCAAAAATAATAATAAATATTTTTTTAAAACATTATAACATTTAATAAAAAAGAAATGAGATCTTATAATCTAATGGTCTAGATACCTCTTTCTTCATAAACAAGGTTAACAGTTTAATTCTAGTTGAAAGTAAAAACTTTGTAATTTATAAAAACATATAAATGTACATAAAACTCTGTAGCTAAGTTCATGTAAATAGAAGATCAGTATATAAAGAAGTTCTCAAAAAGAAATTTTCTAATATAGAGAGTTGATGCTTGATATGAAAGAAGCAGTGAATATATTAAAAATAAAATAAAAATGCACTAGTAGGTGACATAATGAACATAAAAGAAAATTATGGAAAAAAATAAACTTACTGAAATTCGAATATTTCTGATATTAAAACTGATCTAATAGATATAAGATATACTAAATTGAATCTAAATAATAATCTTAATACCAGCTTAATAAACTTGCATCAAGAATAAATTCAAAAGAATATAGATACTTAATAATATTCAATAAAATAATACTTTAATATAAATAATAACTAAGATAACTCTAATCTGAAATATCATTATAATGGTAATGTAAATATTGCATATATATGCAATATGTGTTAAAAATCAAAAAGTTTAAATAGGAAACTCACAAGTAGGTCTCAGGTATGGTATCTAGTAGGTAACCTATAAGTGGAACTCTTAATTAAATAATGACTAAAGTTATATATGTGGCTAGTTGTACTTTTATTGATAGACTATTGTATATAAAAATATGTAATCATATGTTACTTAATAAATACATACAGGCGAGATTGCTGCTTCAAAAAAAAAAAACATTTAATAAAGGAAGTTAAGAGTTTTACACCTTTGAAGTTTATTAGTTATGTGATTTACAAAATGCGAAATATTACGCTCTAAAATTTTAAATGTGATAGAACAATAATTATGATTGTCAGTGTAAATCGAATATTTTAATTGTAATAATTTGATGCTAAATTTGATTGATTTCTGCAGTAGGTGTCAGGTCAATGAGGTCTGAAATCACATGATCTGACACCTCGTTTTTGCCATGGCTAGGGTACTTATTTTTATGTGGCCTGAACAGAAGTACAAATTCAGATGGCTGAAAAGTATACCATTTTACCTATACTTCTGAGTCATCTTATCTCTTTAATATTATTTCAAAAAACTGGTTATACAAAGTTGGTCATGAAGAATTCTTGATCAACTTTAATGTTATATTATAAAAGGTGATGAATGTGAAGAATTTTTATAAGTGTCATGTGCAGGATCCTCTTAGTATTAAATTTAAACATCAAAATCTTATTATGACCAACATAGAATAAGTGAATTATAAATTAGCCACATTCATTAAAATGTATAAATAACCCCAATATTTCACCATGAATCGGTATGTTTCCATTTTTTATTCATTAATAAAGAATAATCGCGTCTTCATACACGAATACCTCAAAGCTTTATTGAATAAAATAAACTGTTATACGTCTACTTGTATCTTCATATACATTTAGTCTTTTGCATCTTTCGTAATTGAAAATCCTTTTTAGTTATCCCGTACTTATAAAGAGGTGGTTCGGGTGTAACATTCTCTTTATGTATTTAACTACAGTATGTTGTGGTAACTTATTTTATATACTTTTATAAAGTATTTTTAAGGTACTTTTTGAGAAGGTGGCATTTCGCTAATAAAAAATCACCCCAGAAGCCATTCGTAACTCTAAACGAACGTTAAGGAATCAGCCTCCTGACTGACTTTACTTAGAAGACATAATACACCACCGTCTATTGGACCGTGCGAAATTATACTGTAAAGTGAAGGCAATTGAAAACTTTTTTGTTTCTGATTACTGTTTGATTTGGACAGGTACAAGCTCTAGTAGTAAAAATCCAAGTTTAATGTTTAAAGTTGGCTGGTTTTTGCAACGTGTATGAATTTTTCAACCGTAAATTAAAAAATTTCGGGTAATGTCCTGTAGAGTCTTTAATTAGTTCAGGTTTATGAGTAATATTATATTTACACGTATCTATAAATACATGTAATAAATTATTTTGTGCGTATTTATATGAAGTTCTTTTTTGTATTCTGATAATATTAAAACGATGAATCTTTTAAAAAATTATACGAATGCCAAATTGCATGTTACCGCGGAATTCCTGTGAAACTTGATAATGATAATGAACTGTGTTATTGTTACATACAAGATTGTAGTACGTATTAACGTTAAATAAAGGAATTATTTTATTTTTTTAACCTCCGTTTTGAAACAATGAGTCAAACTGTACAGGAACTTTGTGAATTAGGCTGGAGGTACCAGTATGGTATCAAAGTTGAGAAGAACTTGCGTAAAGCTTTTGAATTCTATCAGAAAGCCGCAAAATTAGGAGACGGAGAAGGATTATTCTGGGCCGGTTTCTGTTATAACTGGGGAATCGGTGTTGGGAGGGATGAGTGCAAGGCCTTCGAGTATTACTTGAGGTCTGCCAAAGTCGGTAACTTGAATGGAATTTGGAAGATTACCATTTGTTATTATTATGGAATTGGAGCATATAAAGATCATGATAAATATGAGGACTGGTTGAGTAAAGAATCCTTAAATTATAATGTTAGTTTTGGGTATAGAGATTTCAAAAATGAGCAATGTACATTTTGTAATGAGTATAATACAGAAATGCATGGTGCCAAACGTGCGATCCCGATATGATAATTATGGGATATACAAGCGGAAATAAAGAAGTTGACGATTGTATAAAAATGTTTCAATTCAGAACTAATTTAAGTTTTAGGATGATCGAATGGATTCCTTTTGATAAATTGGATAATGTTAAAAAAAATTGGCGAAGGAGGGTTTAGTACAATATATACCGCAACCTGGTTAGATGGCAAACGAACATTAAAATAGCGTGAATCGTCTAGTGCTGTTGCACTTAAGTCTTTATCTGGTTATAATAACGTCCCGTTCGATTTTTTAAAAGAGGTAAGCAAATTTATTGTCGATATTATTGTCAATATTGATTGTTTAATCTATTTTAAAACTAATTTATTTAAAATCTTAAGTTTAATAATCATATGAGATGTGTATTAAACTATATAAATCTTGAGATATATGGTTTAACTCGAAACAAAGAAACCAACGAATACATGATTGTGTTTGAATACGCAAATAATGGAAATCTTTCCGAATTTTTAAAAAAGAATTTTCAAAATCTTACTTGGCATAATAAATTAAGAATACTTTTTGATATCTCAGGTGATTTAGACTCAATTCATAGGGCAAAGCTTATTCACTCAGACTTTCATAATGGAAATATTTTGCAATTTAACCGATCGGTCCAAGAATCTTGCGTATCAGATTTAGGATTATCTAAAAGTGTTAACGATAATGTTTCGGAAGGTGGTATATACGGAGTTATGCCGTATGTTGCACCAGAAGTTTTACAAGGTCAAAAATTTACACAAGCAGCAGATATATATGGATTTGGAGTTATAATGGCCGAGATGTCAACTGGGCAAAGACCGTTTGATGGTATGCCATTTGATACTGAACTTGCGATAAAGATTATCAACGGATTACGGCCCGAATTCGCACCAGGGACTCCCGAATGCTACGTAGAGTTAGCCATGCGATGCATGGATCCTGATCCTCAGAAACGGCCTAATGCTAATAAACTTGGCATTGTTTTTTGTGATTGGAATGAAGACATGAACTATAGAGATAAAGGTAGAAATATTGAAATCAGAAATAAATTCTTGAATGCTGACATAATGGTAAAAGAATTATCAATTGTCGAGCAAAAGCACCATGATCGCATGTATACTTCAAAGCTAATCAACACGCAAGAAATCTCGAAAACGTTGGATTCGGCGCTGATGAACTTTAAAATTCCTAATGGTGATCATTGTTATTAGATATCTTTTTGCAAAAAATAAACTTAGCATGAAAGAATATTTAATAAATAAGCATGTTATGTTAATAAAACCAATATTTTTTAAAAAAATAAGTAAAATTAATGAATATTAGTTATTATGTAAGAATTTTGAAATCTGTATAAAATAACTCGCAATATGATACATATTCGAGATTTTTATTAAAATTTATTATTAGGTGGATTAAAAAAAGAGATGTTTTTTTTTTTAAACTCAAGTATAACTATCAATATGAAATCGGATGAGCATATAAGGCATTTGAATATTGTCAGAAAGCTGCCGACATAGGGGATGTAGATATAATATGTCCGTTATTGTTAACGTAACGGAGTCTGAAAAAAGGTTGACCACAAGGCTTTCAAGATTTCTGATATGGACCTTGTTCTTGGAGCATTTAGTGTGCTAGAATATTTTTATGTAAATGAAACCGGAGCAGAAAAGGACAAACACAAGACTTTCGAATATCATCAAAAGATGCTGACTCGAGAAATTCTTGTGTTTGGTCATTATTATTATTATACAATAGAATGGTATCGAATGGATAAAGAAAAAGCGTTCAAAAATTTATCGATGCGGGTATTTATTATTCAATATATTTAAAATATACCATTTTCCTTTAGTTAGATAAGATTTTTTTTGTTAAATTTATGCTTTTTAATAAGAAATTTAAATACACAGTGACTCTCATTATACGTAACGGATTTTTGGTACGTATAATGGAGAGTAAAACCTTATTGTCGATATAGGCTCTGTTCAATTGGCCTTTAGAGAGATGCTCATTTTCCAATCGAGTACGTTGTTTAGTGATATGTGTGGTTTTTTTGCATAAATGAAATTAAAAAAGAAAAATCTTTACGTACGTACCTTGAATTACGTATCGCACAAATTTCAATGTCCGATACGTTTTTATGCGAAAAAAACCGACTCTCATGTCTACGTAGCAAGAAGAATCTATGATAAATTTACTACTGTGTTTTAATAATTCATATAATTCATAACGAGAATAAAAGCAAAGAACACGTACCGTATCAGCAAATCATTTGCCAAATTACAGCTATTCGAAAATTATAATTGGTAGGGGTAGGGTGTTATCGGCTGAGTTTTAATTTGAATAAACATGATTACATCATGACACATGAAAAAATTTATATATATATATAAATATAAATATTTTTGATTTGTTTACTTTTTGATATAATCTTCGTTTGATACAGTCTTTGATGCGATGGATAATGACATAGTTCTTTATACGACTGATGATATCCTTCCAGAAAAAATAACTAATTAGCTTATGTGTCCTGGTAATTTATAATCTTGTTTATGGAAACAATAACAAATTTTGAAAATTGGAGTATTTGCGTATAAAAGTAAAACAGGTTAGTACTCTTTTTACAAACTGGTGAGATTGTAGAACTGGAAGCACACCGGGCCGCAATTGGTGGAAGGTTTAATAATGTACTAAAGGCTGCCAACTGCGAACGTCCTTCTGCAAACTTTATCGTTTTGTCTAAGGAGTTGAAACACGTTGTTAGTGATTAATAGCAGAACCCAAGGGTTGATCTTTGCTAGCGAGATGGGCACTTGGACTGAGAGGGGGTACATACACAAACAGGGTTGGTGTGTGCCATTCGACGAGTACGATCCTGATTTTGCTATTGGTCATTAGATTAATATACCTGGCAAGGTGCCTCACCACAGGACCATGCCCAGTTACCCTAATTTTAACTGTTGGTAGTGTTTCACCTAGTTCAGAAATAATACTGATCTCTTTTTATTATTATTATTATTTTAGAACATAGTGGCAAAAGAGATTGAGACAGCGGCACAATCGTCAAATCATCAGTGTATAGATCAGGGCATTGAAAATAAAAACAATGATCAAATCCAAGATAATGATTTTAACAAATCAGAATCTATAGTACATAGTTGTAAACACTTTCATTTTTTATTCTCAAATAATCCAAGAAATTACTCTGGATGTTTTAACTGCGTAATCAAATCTATATTCAGGGTCGACCAATTTACTTTACAATACCATCATCTTCCTTAGAACAAAATAGTGTACCATTCACAGAAAGTGATGTGGTCATAATAATTCTTTGCATAAGGCTATTCTTTTCAAATTGTGACAATTTATAATAAAAAATTTAATAAGAGTTAAAAAACTTACCGGCCAAATTTGCAGGTATAGTAAAAACGTCATTTACATAAGCATTCGCAAAACTATTATCACCATCTAAATTTCTTGTATTATTAGTATTAGCGCATGAAGATGAATTCGATAAGGTTTATGAAAGTGAATTTTTAGCCTTTGGAGATGTTGAATTGCAACTAGTGTCATTATCATTTCCACACCATTATGTTTTTTTTTCAATTGATCTGATATTTTTATAATTTCGTCATTATTACTATTGTAAAAGAGACGACCCATTTTTGATGAGATGAAGAGGATTAGGTCTTCGAAAAATCAGATTGATCCATTTTTCGGATTTTCTGAGCACAAAGAAAATAATTATTATAAGATCTACATAGATTATATAATGTAAATTGGATTCGACATCATAAAACGAAACATATTTATTGAAGGCATTGAATTATTTTTGCTACCCTGCAGTTAATGTATAAGTTTCTAACAAAATACGATGTTTAACTTCTTCACCAAACCCTTCGTTTCGTGTAGTTCATCTTCTCGAGTAGAATCCATATCACTTCGATGACCTTATATTAAATAATCGAAATAAGTATATTACAAATGAAATACAGTATACCGAAAATTCTTAATAATACCATATCGAATTGGATGAAGCTTCTGCTGGGGCTAATATGTAATAAGCAGGCAATGCATATTTGGTGCTAGGACAAGATACAGACACAATTGTTGCACCATGAGAACGAAGAAGAGAAATTCCTTGTTGGCATAAGTTTTGTATCGGATCACTTAGTTCAGACACATAATATTCTTATAAAAGATAATAAGGCATTGGTTATAATTAAGAACAAATTAAGATGATAAATTACTTGTGGTATGCCAATGTGTAATTCACTCAAATTAGTAGAGTTGTTTTATCAAATGAAGTCAAGGAGGCATTTATTGAGCGTAGTTTTGGCGGAAGTGAAGATGGATCTTCCTCGTCATATCTTGATATTATATCTAAAAATAAAGGGCTTTCGTCTTTAAAGTATTATTCAACATATTCTTAATTCATGGATTCAACGGGTCATACATGAGTTGTGCATCAAGAACATTTTGCGCTATTATACCCACAGTATCCAATGAACTAGCATACGTAACTAGTCTCCACTGTGAGCATTGACCATATGAAGGTTTGAAACCTATAACACCACAATATGAAGCAGGCAGGCGTATAGAACCACCTGTGTCAGATCCAAGAGAACTTTTTTTATGTCACAATAAAGCAAATAATTTGTGAAAAGAAAACTAATATTGCGCCAAATTGTATTGTTGCCTACGCGAAGCACATTCCAGAGCAACAGCAGCACTGCCACCAGAACTTCCACTAGCAACTCATCGTTCTTGATCAATGGAATCTTTTTTGTCAGAAGTAATTACATGAGGATTATAAACTGGTCCAAATGCACTGTACATATTTGCTGAACTTAACATTATTGATTTGATATTAAAGAGATAAATAAAAAAAGCTATTATTTCAAAAGAAAATTTATAATGATCGATATTTAAGATTACCCCATCCCAAATTCATCCATATTCGTTTTTCCAACCATTATTGCTACAAGGTTGCATTATAAGGTGATATAAAATCTTTTAAAGTGAAAGTTTCACTATTTTAATTTCGTGGTTAAAACAATTTGAAATTTCATGTAGAACTACTCAACTTTTTAACATTTTAGATCCGCATGTGGTTGATAATTCTTTAGTGCAAAATTTATCTTTATATGTGATGGGTATTCCATCTAAAGGCCCTTTAATAATTCCTGATATTGATATATTGTAGATATATTCGTAAATTATCAATACGATAATAGACAAAAAAATCATCTTTGGGAAATTAGTAACCTCTACTAATCTATCATCTGCTAATCTATCATCTGCTTATTTAGCCTTTTCTAATGCCACGTTTTCATTTTTTACTTTTATGAATGCATTCAAATGAGCATTATGTTTACTATTTGGGAAAAACAATCCTTGTAAAGCTGCTGATGTCACTTTCTTCTGTTGTAAAAGATTCTGAGCCTATACATTGATGTTATTCGAATTTTATACGGTACGTAATTAGATCAAAATTAGAGGTTAAACTTTCTGTATTAACTTTTGTCACAGATAGAAACGATAATTTACATCTCTGATTTGTTAATGTATTTAAGATGAATTTTTTATTGGAAAAGTTTGAAAGAAAAATCATTCATTGAGGACAATTAATGCGTACTGTAATTTGAACAAAGTAAAATAACTCGTTGTTATTGGTTAGATTAAATAGATTGTAAATTTGAAACCGTTTCGCAGACAAATTTGCCTGCGAGTTGAATTTTTTCGGTAAATTAGAATCTAAGGGCACATGGCATCATAGGATGATTAAATCGGTTTGTTCGAGAGTCTTTGGAAATGTTATTCTTTTAGCACAAGGTTCTCTATCCTTTTATTTACTTGCTCACTTTTTGGGGATCGGTCGAAAATCTCATTCTTGCACAACCTCAAATGTCCGACATGTCTAAATATTAATAACCTTCGGACTTTTGATGTACGTAATTGAACTGCGCAAGCAATTTTTGGAGGGCTAAAAACGTGAAGATGATTGGCTATCCACTAGTAATGCCAACATAACCTTTTATCGTTATGGCGTTTTGACTTTTATCACATATTTTAATATATATCATAGTTAAAATTGGTAAAATGAAAACGATATAATTAATTATACTGTTGGTTAAAACATTGATTAAAATTAAACTATCGAATTACATAAAAGTAAAGCTATTATAAATTTTGAACTAGCATCAAAACAACTGATTTAATAATTTTTTACTTAATACGTATTATTATTTCTTAAACTAGCAGGTTTAGTGTGCAGCTAAAATTTTTGATTGAAAATTCAATTATAAACAGAAAATTTTTAATAAAACTTTTAATTTAATTAGTTATAATGATTTTCAAAAACTCAAGTTACATGGTACACACTCTATAGTTACAGCATTGATCACTTCATGTGACCTAACAAAAATACAAATTCACATGATGGATGAAAAGTATGCTATTTTATCTATACTTTTGAGTCATCTTATCTCTTTAATATTATTTCAAAAAACTGATTATATAGAGTTGATCATAAAGAATTCTTGACCAACTTTAATATTATATTATAAGAGATACCTGTGTGTGATGATTGTTAAGAATTTTTAGAAGTGTCATGTGCAGGATCCTTTTTTAATTTTAAATTTGAACATCAAAAAAAAACTAATTTTTAGAATTCCGTTATAGGAATTATTTGATATCCAACTTGTGGTACGCTTTTAATTTAGCTTGGATAAAATTTAGAGTAATTGCCCAAAAATAGGTCAAAAAACATTTTAGCGTTCAGATTTGCACGCTAGACGGTTTAAGGGATAACCTAGTAATTTCCCTATTTTCTTTATTATTCATATTGTTATTACTCATAGAATTAGTGTTAGCCATGAAGATTTCTATTCATTAAAATGTATAAATAACCCTGATATTGTGCTATGAATCAGTATGTTTCCATTTTTTATTCATTAATAAAGAGTAATCACATCTTCATACACGAATACCTCAAAGATTTATTGAATAAAATAAACTGTTATACGTCTACTTGTATCTTCACTATAGTATGTTGTGATAACTTATTTTATATACTTTTTAAAGTACTTTTAAAGTACTTTTTGAGAACGTAGCATTTCGCTAATAAAAAATCACTTAGAAGCCATTCGTAACTCTAAACGAACATTAAGGAATCAGCCTCTTGACTGACTTTACTTTGAAAACATAATACACCACCGTCTATTGGACCGTGAGAAATTATACTGTAAAGTGAAGGTAATTGATTTGGACAGGTACAAGCTCTCTAGTAATAAAAAATCCAAGTTTAATGTTTAAAGCTGGCCGGTTTTTGCAACGTGTATGAATTTTTCAACCATAATTAAAAAATTTCGGTTAATGCCTTGTAGATTCTTTAATAAGTTCAGGTTTATTAGTAATAAATATTATATTTACACGTATCTATAAATACATGTAATAAGTTCTTTTGTGCGTATTTATTAGTTCATAAACCTCCTTATATGAAATTTTTCTTTGTATTCTGAATCTTTTAAAAAAATTATATGAAAGCCAAATTGCATGTTACTGCTTTAATTTAAAAGTAAAATTGATAATGATAATGAACCAGATAGTGATAGATATGAAAAATGACAATTGAAAGGATTACTAACGATTCTAAGTTATCCGTATGTTTTGAACATATTGAATAGTTTGAACAGTTTGAACAGATTGAATAGATTGAAAGAATGATTTGCAATCCGCACATTTTGAGGGAATTAAAAGGGTATAACAGTATAACAAATAAAATGCTAGATTAGGTAGTGAATTGTGTTATTGTTACATACAAGATTGTAGTATTAACGTTAAATAAAGGATTATTTTATTTTTTTAACCTCCGTTTTGAAACAATGAGTCAAACTGTACAGGAACTTTGTGAATTAGGCTGGAGGTACCAGTATGGTGTCAAAGTTGAGAAGAACTTGCGTAAAGCTTTTGAATTCTATCAGAAAGCCGCAAAATTAGGAGACGGAGAAGGATTGTTCTGGGCCGGTTTCTGTTATAACTGGGGAATCGGTGTTGCGAGGGATGAGCGCAAGGCCTTCGAGTATTACTTGAGGTCTGCCAAAGTCGGTAACTTGAATGGAATTTGGAAGATTGCCATTTGTTATTATTATGGAATTGGAGTAGATAAAGATCATGATAAATGTAAGGACTGGTTGAGTAAGGATTCTTTAATTCCTTATATTTATGCTAGTTTGGGTGAGTACGATAGAAATTTCAAAAAAGGAAAATGTAAATTTTGTAATGAGTATAATACATTTGATGCATGGTGCCAAACATGCGATCCCGATATGATAATTATGGGATATACAAGTGGATATAAAGAAGTTGACGATTGTATAAAAATGTTTCAGTTTAGAAGTAGGTTTAATTATCAGATGATCGAATGGATTCCTTTTGATAGATTGGATAATGTTAAAAAAATTGGCGAAGGAGGGTTTAGTACAATATATACCGCAACCTGGTTAGATGGCATACGAACAATAATATCGCGTGAATCGTCTAGTACTGTTGCACTTAAGTCTTTATCTGGTTATAATAAAGTTCTGCTCGATTTTTTAAAAGAGGTAAGCAAATTTATTGTCAATATTGATTGTTTAATCTATTTTAAAACTAATTTATTTAAAATCTTAAGTTTAATAATCATATGAGATGTGTATTAAACTATATAAATCTTACGATATGTGGTTTAACTCGAAACAAAGAAACCAACGAATACATGATTGTGCTTGAATACGCAGATAATGGAAATCTTTCCGAATTTTTAAAAAAGAATTTTCAAAATCTTACTTGGCATAATAAATTAAAAATACTTTTTGATATCTCACATGATTTAAACTCAATTCATATGGCAAAACTTATTCACTCAAACTTTCATAGTGGAAATATTTTGCAATTTAACCGATCGGTCCAAGAATCTTGCGTATCAGATTTAGGATTATCTAAAAGTGTTAACGATAATGTTTCGGAAGGTGGTATATACGGAGTTATGCCGTATGTTGCACCAGAAGTTTTACAAGGTCAAAAATTTACACAAGCAGCAGATATATATGGATTTGGAGTTATAATGGCCGAGATGTCAACTGGGCAAAGACCGTTTGATGGTATGCCATTTGATACTGAACTTGCGATAAAGATTATCAACGGATTACGGCCCGAATTCGCACCAGGGACTCCCGAATGCTACGTAGAGTTAGCCATGCGATGCATGGATCCTGATCCTCAGAAACGGCCTTATGCTAATGACCTTTGGTGTAATTTTTATGAATGGAATCTAATCATGGAAAATCTCGATAGGAATATTGAAATCAGAAATAAATTCTTGAATGCTGACATAATGATAAAAAAATTATCAATTGTCGAGCAAAAGCACCCTGATCGCATGTATACCTCAAAGCTGATCAACACGCAAGAAATCTCGAAAACGTTAGATTCGGCGCTGATGAACTTTAAAATTCTTAATGGTAAATGAATTTTTTTATTTTTTTTGCAAAAAATAAACTTAGCATGAAAATATATTTAATAAATAAGCATGTTATGTTAATAAAACCAACATTTTTTTAAATAATAATAAATAAATAAAATGAACGAATATTAGTTTTCATGTTAGAGTTTTTGAAATCTGTACGTATAAAATAACTCGCAATATGATACAAATTCGAGATTTTTATTAAAATTTATTATTAGATGGATTAAAAAAGAGAGTTTTTTTAAACTCAAGTATAATTATCAATATGGAATCGGATGAGCATAAGGCATTTGAATATAGAAAGCTGCCGACATAGGGGAAAAAAGGTTGAACACAAGGCTTTCAAGATTTTCTGATATGGACCTTGTTCTTGGAGCATTTAGTGTGCTAGAATATTTCTATGTAAATGAAACCGGAGCAGAAAAGGACAAACACAAGACTTTCGAATATTATCAAAAAGATGCTGACTCGAGAAATGCTTGTGTTTGGTCATTATTATTACAATAGAATCGGTATCGAAAGGATAAAGAAAAAGCGTTCAACAATTTATCGATACGGGGTATTTGTTATTCAATATATTTAATATACCATTTTCCTTTAGTTAAATGTATGCTTTTTAATAAGACTTTTTAAATACACTGTGACTCTCATTATACGTAACGGATTTTGGTACGTATAACGGAGAATAAGTAAAATCTTGATACAACAGATTAAACTCAATATTGCGGATTTTAATACCCAATATTATTGTCGATATAGGCTCTATTCAATTGGCCTTTAAAGAGATGCACATTTAGAAGTATTTTCCAAACGAGTACGTTACTTTAGTGATATGAGTGGTTTTTTTGCATAAAAACGTATCAGACATAGTCCTAAAATGATCAATGTCCGATACGTTTTTATGCAAAAAAAAACCGACTCATGTATAACTGATGGAGCTATAGTATACGTAGCAAGTAAGAGAAACTAACAAAATACACAGACCCGCAGAACAGATTGTTCTTCTAAAGAAGCATTGTTTGAGATAAATTATTGCGTGAAACACACGCTAATAAAAATCAAAAATTCAGCAATAAATCAGGTTGGTTTTGCGTATTATTGCTACATGTATAATAGATGAATCTGGTCGTGCAAGGATCATTCTGCATAATCTTAAACATGACTAAAGAGTCATCTAGCATCATTTCTTCAAAATTATAATTTTAAGCATAGATTAATAGTACAAATAATGCGATTGAATTTTACTTTCTTGAGAAAGATTATTTCAAGTGCTAGACTATATGATAGAACATTTCCAACACTAAAAGATGAACCAGCAACTAGAATTCTGAAACGTTATAAACTGCTGTAAAACGAACATAATAAATATCAAAAGGATAGTTCGTTCGGTTAATAGAAAGTAAATCTATTTATTCTGAAAACTTTGCGGATATAGTTAGAAGACAAATAAATAAGACAGTTAAAAATTATATACTGCATATCAAATCGTTAATCAATTTTAATAAATGAAAGCCTTTTAAAAATGCCTCAATAGACTAATAAAACTATATATATTTTTTTTAATCAACGAAACCATTGCGCTTGTCAAATCAATTGCTCTCAATACTATACAAATCAACTCTGTATGCAAAGAACTAATGACTATATACATATAATATTATCATTTTATAAGGTAAATTGGTTTCGGTGGTAATGATGGTGGTTGCCTATTCTTAGAGCGTGATGATTCCGAAGGCAACGTAAAATTTTTCATGGGTTCCTCCTTGAGAGATTTCTTAAGTGATTCTTCTTTAAGCAACGTATTATTTCTTCGTCTACGTTGATAAATGAACCACAACACATAAATTACTCCCATAAGAACTACTACTACATATGCTCCGATCAATACTAGAAACAATGTAAGTTCTGAACGTAGCTTGTTTTCATACTCATCAAAAATTCCACCAATTTCACCCCCATTGGAGTTATCATTCTGTGGTCCAACAAGTTGATCTGTGGTTTTACTTACTGCTTCTTGCATTCTCAAAGGGCTAATCATTAAGATATTATTATTCACTCTAGGTAACTCAATAAACGCATGATCCTTGATAAAAGTTAGTCCTGCTTGAATTCCTTCTATTTTCACAAAAATCAAACAATTTAAAATTTGTTGAATTGAAGTTGCTAATGCTGGTACACCTTGAAATGTAGTTTGTATAAATGATGAAATATCATCAACTGCCGCATTAAGAGTGTTGTTCAATGTTGTAGTTGTGATGTTCACCCATCCAAATAGATCTTGATTAATCCCGTTTTCCAAGGTTGATAACACAGAATTGCTTCCATTGGCAAATTGTTGTGACGTATTATTCAATTGTGAATTCATTAGATTCAATACAGTATCACCAAATGCACTTATTGCCTGTTGAATTGGTGCACGATAATTTTGTCGAACAACATTCAAGATGGCTATTTGTAAGTATATTCCTAAAACACCAGCGATCCCAATTGTTAAACAAATAAGTGCTGGTTTATACAATATGTAATCCCAATACCATCGAAACAAATTTTGATTTTCAGTTCTTTTAAAAATTTTTGAAGTTTTAATGATCCACAGTGATATCAACGGATGTTCAGCGATTTTTATTATATCTAAGATTGATTCCCTGCTTGGATTGACAGTTATTAATTGAACTGTGGTGACAGTACGATTAACATGTATCATAAAGCGTTTATAGGAAATCAATATGTAAAATGCATTAATAAGAATCATTAAAAGACCAATTATGAAAATTATAACTATTCCAATTGTCGCGGCTTTGATAAGATCATGTGATAGTTGATCAAGAACACTAAGATCCAAACTATTAGCACAAAATTTTAAATTATTTGGTGGTGGAACAGGTAATACCGTTTGATTAAAAGTTAAATTTGACATTGTTGATTGAACCAATATTCTTAATTGTTCAAAAGGAATGGTCACAATATTATCCAATTTGGTTTCAATATCAGCAATAGTTGGAATGTTTTGACTCAATGCGTCAAGTCCTGCAACATTATTTGATGTTGGAAGTTGAAAAGAATTTAATGCATCTGCCGATGGAATTGTAACTGTAGGAACATTAATTCCTCCAATAAGTGATCCAGCTGTAGAAATAGCTGTTCGGACTGAGTTAAGAGCTGCATTTACGGAGGAAATATCCTTATCGATTCCGGTTTTTATGTTAGTAAGTTGTGTGGTAGAAAATGCTTGTAAAACTCTTACAGCTTCAGCAATTGAGCTTAATGATCCATTTATAACTAATTCTAATAGGCATTTAAAAGTACTTTTATATAAGTGAATTATCCAAACAATAATACCTTCGAGTGCAAGAATTCCAAAATCCAGTGCTTTTGATGCCCCTTTAATTGAAAGATTGACACTGTCAACTGTTGCACGGTTAAATCCATCAGCCATAAAGTGTGGTAATGATATTAGCGTTGAGGTTGCAAGTTCAAGAGAATTACATGATTTAAGTGCTTTGTCTTTAACTTCATCAACTAAAGGTTGTATGGAACTCATTGCTATAATGAGACGAAGAGTTATAAATAGTAATGCTATTATCGGATATGTGATCCAAGCGAGGGATAATCGACCATGCAATCCAACGTATGGTTGAATGTTAGTTGGCGACTTTAGTGGATTTGGTGGATGCTTTTCTGAAAAGTCTATGAATTGAATTGAATATATTAAAATAAAATCATAATAAAATAAATCATAATAAAATAATAATAAAATAATAATAATCTGATTGGCTAATCATGCCACCTGGATTATTTAGAGAACTAAAGAATGTTTACTGATACCATTAATTCCTAACGACTGCTTCTCAGTATTATATGTGGGTGATCCACTCGATTTATATCTGAATCCTTCTTCAGCTTGCAAACTTGGTGAAGGAAGTGCAAAACCAGTTGATAACGCACCAGGCGAGGCAATTTTATTAGTCTTAAGAGGCATTATTAAAAAAGCTTTCTATATTAATTCTACATATATGATTAACGAAAGATAAAAATGATGGATAAGTTGGGCCCTGCCTGAACAAACGGAATCTCGACTTTGTTTCGTTAATTTATATTATTTTCCAGTATCAAATATAAAATATTGCCTTATTCGTAAAACAATATTAACACTTCAAAGCATTGAATTAATATGTACTCCAAAAACATTGTTTGTAATGGTAGATCTTGTAAAATTGATTTGATAGAACTTTTAGTGTCGGATCTTTGTAAACTGTCTGTGTACTGGTACTTGATACTATTTGGGAAATGATCTAAGAAAATCAACGTTTGAAAGTAAATCCCTGGCAGTGATAGGAATCGACTAAAATTTTTTAGTCAACTAATCAGTCGACTAATTTTATGACTAGTCGACTAGTCGTATAATATATTTAAATAGTGATAGGAATCCCAACTGAATGTTGAATATTTCTCAAGAAATTTGCTCAACCAGTTCGTAATTTATGTTCGTTTATAATCTATCTCGGATCATTTCAGATGATCGTTATTCCTACTTTGACTAATAAAATTTAGTTAACTAGTCGACTTAGTCGAATAATATTTAGTCGATTTCTATCACTAATCCCCGGTTATCCGAGGGCCTTCATATGACTGGTTACACCCTGCAGTGGGTTGTTCTTCGTTTTGTACGATATTATGGCATAACATTATAAAATATCGGGTATGGAACATAGTCTTGGAAGTCAAACTACGAAGCTAAGGTTTGAGATGATAAATAGTGGTTCGAGACCTTAGTGAAAGGTTCAAAACAAAGATTTATGAAATGTAATGGTAATGATATATGAAATAGAATGCTAGTCACATGCACGAAAGGTTTTATATGTGTGTTACCTGCAGGTATATCAAATTTTCACAGTTACTCAACTTGTTATACGTATTATGTTTGAACAACTCTCAATGTGTTAGAACATTGATCATTAAAAAAAAGAAATAGTAGAAACATCTATAGCAATAATTGGTAAATTAATATCATTAGATAAAGAGAAATAAGACTCTCAAGTATATTGAGCAAAAGAAGTTAAAAGTTAAGATGAGGGTGAGGGTGTGAGTGAAGGTAAAGATGAAAGTGAAAGTAAAGACAAAGGTGTGGTTGCAGATAAAGAGATGAGTAGAGGTGAAAAAAAAGGTAAAGAGAAATAAAAAAGAAGGAATAAAGATAAAAAAAAAAAAAGAAAAATATATATATATATAATAAATAAATATTTTTTATTTTTTATTTTTTAACATATTGATGTATTAGTAAATGAAATAATAAATATTAATATCTGCTAATGTAAAGTTAAACATATAATAAATAAATATTATATAATCAAGTAAAATATTATATACATATGACAATAGAGTATATCAGACTTAATTTTTACAAAATTTTATAAACTAATATTTATTAAATAAGTCAATATTTAATTATTAAGGGTAGGGGTGATGTAGATTATTTGTCATATGATTTTCCTAGCCAATAAAATTTTATATATAAAAAAAAATATATTACTAATAAAACTTTTCAGTATTATATTCAATTGTTACCAAAATTTAATAGTATATAAATTTATATCTTTTAATTATTTTGATAAAATTTTATAATTTATTTTATTTAAAAAAAATACTTTATATATTACTAAGTTTGCCTAGGTCAGCTTATGAGTTTTCTAGGTCATACAAGATTTATATAGGAAATTCGTGTAACATAACCAAAATTTTATATGTAAATCATATGATATCATATAATTTGCTATAAAATTATCAATAAAAATGATCTATGTCATCCCTACTCTTAAATAAAAAGCCTCACCGTTAATATTAAAAAAAAAATTTATTAAATAAAAAATATTATTTAATATTGTAATTAATACAATTAATAAACTAAAATATTATCTATTAATAATAAAGATAATATAATAATTTTAAGAAAATAATTAGTAATTATCACAAATAACTAGTGGTTTTTATTATGATTAGCCAATTTTTATAGATTATTTTGTTATAATAAAATATTATTAAAGTAATGTTTTTAGTCACAAAAATAGATTCAGAACTACAAATACAAATTTAGAAAGAATAAAACAAAAAAATTTAGAAACTTCATATTTTATTTTATAAACTGTTAAAATAATTTGGAAATTAAATAAGAAACACTTTATTTCACTTTTAAATAAAATGCATTTTAATAAAAAGATTAAGGAAGTATAATGACTTAGTAAAGTTAATAAGTTGTTAATCCTTCAAATAATAAGTTGTGAGTTCAAAACCCACCAACAATAAAAATTTAAATAATCATCTATGTAATATATAGACAGTATTACAGCAATAACATTTTGTCAATTAGTTGAAATAAGATATCTGTAACTATAGTCATACCAGCATGATTGGCAGGTCACAGCATCTTAGTTATACAAAGAGATGCAAACTAGTACTTAGTAATGCAAATCTAAAATAAGTCTTTATAGTTATATAAATTTATAAAACTGGAAAAACTGAAGCCTATTTGAAAATACTGAGTAAAAAGGTAGCACAAATCTTTAAAACTATTATTATAAAGGTTAGACCTAGGAAATAAGTACCAATATAAAGGAATCAGATAGGCAAAAACCTCAGGTAAGAGGTATTACCAATTAGATTACTGAATTTTAGACTGAAGAAAAAAAATATTAGATCAGAATTAATATATCAAGAACAGGTTGCAGTTCTTCTAAGCTATCTGAATTGGAAGTCTAAAAACTAAAGTAGAGATATACTAAAAGTACTAGAAATATGTTATGAAGTTAATGCTAGGGTCTGAGTAAACTTTATAAGAATAGCCTTTGTTAATAATCTATAAAGTAAATAGGTGGTTAACAAGAAGGACCTTCTGTATCTTATTGACAGATATAATATTCTGAAATATATAATGGTCTAGAAACCAGTACAAAAAGAGTAGATATTATATTGCTCAGACACTATATTAGTTAGGTATATACAGAAGATTAGTTGGTATTACATTATAATGAAGTGAATAATCAGAAAGTTTAAATAGATAATCTTCTAGTAAGTTATAGGTACAGCATCTAGTATAAAGCTCTAAAGTAAACTACTTAAATAAACAACTAAAAGTTGTATATGTGACTAGTTGTACTCTTATCTTTGTATAAAATAGTTATAATAACTAACTTCAACAAAGTTAATAAAGTTTCATCACAAAGTATAACCTTTAATACTAAAAAAAAAAAAAAAAATTAAGATCTGTATTTAGTAAACAATCAAAAAACATATATAATTTTAGTAATAGTCAAAGATAATAAGTATTAATTCTATAATTATTAAATATTAAAATTATTTTTTTACTTATCAATTTGTTTTGCTTTTAATATATTGGTCTAAATTCTTATATATTAAGAAAGAAAATGCCAAAATATAAATAAAGATAAATATTAAATATATAAATATATAGAATTGAAATATTAAATAGAATGTATAAATAAACCTTTATAAAATTTTTTTTTTGCTTTCACTAAGGCTGTTTGTTATTGATAGCTACTGTCTTTATTGTATTTTAATTATAATTATATAACTTGTACAATAGATGCAACTTTTGATTATCTATAGTAATTTGAACCAATTAGGCTATAATTAGTTAACCAACCTAATCCAAATAAAATTCAAATAACTGGTTAATCTGGTACAACTTAGTAAGCAGTTGGTAGGATCGATAAAGTATGTAAATAATAAAAAAGTCTAGAAATAAACTGAATAAATATAAGAAATGAGCAAAGATAAATCAAAAGTAGTGTTGTGACTTAAACTATTTAGAACATTTTAAACTATGTGTTAATTAGTATTATATAGTTTTAGCAATAAAAAAAAAGCAGCCAAAACTAACTAATTTTTATATAGTTAGAATGTTCTTAGGTTACATTTATAGATAAAAAAAATTATTAATCTCAATTAGTTGTAATCAGTTGATATAAAACAATTTGATAGGGTGTGGTAACCTAGTGAAGTGGTCAGGTTGTCAACCCTTCAAGTGGTAGGTTAGGTGTTCAAATCCCATCAATGCCGAAAATTTGGATAATCACTTATGTAATATTTGTATTACAGCAACTGTTACTAATGATTGGGTTAGAATACCTGTAATGGCAGTTGCACCAGCATGACTGGCAGGTCATGGAGCATCTGTGCAATGTTGGAGTTATACAGAGGAATGCAAATTGACATATCAGGTGGTGCAAACACTAGATAAGTCCTCGTGGCCGTGTAAATCCATTGAAATTGGGTAACAAGAAGTCCATTTAGAAAGACCTGAGTAGAGAGGTAACGGATCTTTGATGGCTGTACTGTAAAGGCTAGCTTGGTGAAATGAATACCTAGGTCTAGTACCTGGTCCTAGTAGCCGGACAGGCAAAAACCTTCAGGTTAGAAGTCTCAGAGGTACCACCAACCAGGCTGTCAGAACGAACTGAAGGAAAAGGATATTAGGCTGACCTGATATACCAATGGACTGGTCGTAGTCCTACATGGGCTATCTAAATTGGGAGTCTAGTAAAAGGGTAGGAGAAAAGACAGAAGTATACTAAAGTATCGGGGTTATGCTGTGAAGTAGATGCTGGGGTCTAAGTAAACTCTACAAGGGCATAGTGGTTTAATGGTTAGCCCTGACTACAAGTGTTGGTTCTACTATAGTGATACCTAGGTTAGCTGTAAAAATGAGTACAGAAGGCTCTAGGAGGTTTACCTCGAGGATAAATTAGTCCTAAGGTTGAGAATAATGATCTGGTACATCTGAGATGACCAGTAATATTAATACAAGTTACAGGTTCAGAGGGTTTAAAGTGGAACATCCAAGCAGGGGTGTTAGGTATAGCAATTGGTGGGGAACCTTCGGGCGGACTCCTTAAATAGGTAATATAGAAAAGTTACATGTGTAACCAATTGTATGCTCTTCTGTAGTAGTTCATTGAACTACAATACCGATAAGTGATTAATAAAAGTCAAAAGACCAAAGAGGTCACCTTAATAAAAAAAAAAAAAATATATAATCAATATATGATATATGAATATTTATTAAATATCATTTAACTAATTGGTTAAAGTTATATATTACAATAATTTCAGCACAATACTTATAATCAAACCTATTTTTGTATTATGATAATTATTTACAGATTATTATAATGATAAATAACAAAATATAATATCGGTTAAATGGTCAGTTCAGTTAGTCAGGATTTGTGACTGAACTGGTATTAGTCACAGTCATAACTATAGATGTGCTATTTATATGATTTCTGAATTTTTTTCATATACAGTACATACAGTAAGTACAGTATGTATAGTTGTATAGTGTGTATAGCATATGTAATATGCATAATAGATGTAGCATTTATAAATTAGTTATATGCAACTTTGTGCAAGGAATAATTTTTGTTAGAATGTGAAAGACAATTTCATGATCAAAAAATTGTTATAGGGATACTTTAATAATTTGTTCTAGAATATTCTAAAAAATTTTTTGCATATTGCAGCATATTACTAGTCATAACTGAACTATTGACATCCCTAGTTCTTAGTATGCTCTGAATCTGCAAATCATTACATAAATGATTCAATTGATATAGATTTTTTTTTATACATATTACAATACTTTTTTCAAAAGCCTGAGTAGATTATCTCATCTTTAAAGCAGATCAAGTGCTCTAAGTAAACTTGAAGTTTTCATGTCATACTATAATAATATCAGTTAAATCATTTTGAAACATTTGACTTTCACATTATAATTTACTTACTGAAGTTGCAAGTAATTAACAATTACCAGTTGGCAAAATCTCATTTGCTGAACAAAAAAAAAACAAAAAATAATTAATAACAATAGTATAGGAAAAAGAAATTAGTTTGTATTTTTTATTATTATACATTTCATATAAAATCTTTAGAAAAGTAAAAGTTTATATGAATAATATTAATTAACTATACAATTTATTAATATTATTATAGTAGAATCTTTTAGGATACAATGAAAAGGTTATACATATACATGCACAATGTATGTTAAAAGTGTAAAGGTTTCTTATTAGACATTAATTGTTTAATTTAAAATAGTATGATGATAGTTTACGATATTAGGAATCTGAGTAGATATAGAATTAAATATAGAATTAGATGTAGAATTAGATATAGAATTAGATGTAGAATTAGATAATTGAAGCTTTGTAAATAAATAGGACAAATACTAATAATTAAGATTTAAAATTAATTAATAAATGCTTACTTACCTAACAATAATATTTGGCAGCATTTACTTTGAATTTGAAATTAAATTACATTTCTTTTCATTTTATAAAAATTTAAAATTTGATTGGTTAATCAGCACGTGATAAAATTCGCATGATAAATATTTACAATTTGATTGGCTAAATCAATATGCATGGTCGGGATCATCATTTCCTTATTTGGGATGGTCCCCCTGTTTATAGGATAGTAGTATAAAATCAGAATTTTCGGGTATAGGCAAACTTGAAAAAACCAAACCAATTATGCAATACTTTATTAATAAAATAGCTTCGTAGAGAATGTCTTTTCAAGAAACTCAAGTTGCATCATGCTGTATCACATTGTTCTGTTAACAGTTGAAGCACTATCTATTTTATAGTAAAAAATAATAAAAGTATATTATACTGCTTAATTCGCAAAGTTCAATGTTGTTTGTTTGGTTTTTTTTCTTATTTGTTATTATTTAAATAATTAACTTTTTGATTATTATAAAAATTTATAGATTGTTTTCGAAAGTTGTATATTCTTTAGATATCTTTAATTTAATAGAAGTCATTCTTTTTTTTTTTTTTTAAATATTAATGGTGAGGCCATGTCTTTAACTTTATTGAAATTCAATTGAAGTTTTTACAAAGAAAAGCTTGCTTTTAAATTACATATGAAGAATAAAGACTCAGACATATAATCTGCGACCTAAACCTACAAGAGTGGCCAAGGCTCACCTAGATTTGGGTTTGAGTAATAGAAATCATTCTATTATGTATATATAATAGTATAGTTTTGTTAATTATTTAAAGTTTTAAAAATCTTGATAAAGAACATGTAACTTCTTATTAAAAACTTTTCTAATAAGTTTATCTACTTGTTAATTGTTATTATAAGCTAGTTAAAGAGTTTTATTCTTCTAAAACGCAACTTATTTTACTTCGAAGTTAACTATAAAAGAAATAATAAATATATGAATTATGTGACTGCGTAGTTTAATGATTATCCATCTGCTCATATTATGTGTTAGCAATATAGTTTCTGATTGGTCAATTAAACATATGAAAAATCCTGTGTTTTTCCAAAAAATGCAAAAGTCCCTTATTATGCAGTATTTACATTGGCACTAACAATGCTATCCAAATCCGATCAAAAGGGTAATAACATTTCTATCTAATTTGGGATTTCAACACTATTAAAAACTTTATATTATTATCCTCTTTTCTCCAGTGAAGACTTCCTCATCAGCGAGTGAATACATAAGAGATATAATTTTATCTGAGTATTTTTATTTTTTTAGTTACTGTATAAGGCACAGAATCACTACAATAGTAAAGATTAGATTAAAGAGATTCCTGAGCTTTTCATAATTTTTTATATTTCTGAAAGTTTTTTAATAAATAACTTTTAATCAGACAATTAAGTCAACAGTCTTCTTTGTAATAATTACATTTTTTAGTAAGGTATTTTGACCATTCTTATCAGGTTCAGCAACTTTGTAAAGTTTAAATGGCTTTCTTTTAAAAAGGGTATTCTACGAACATAAGGTATTTAAGAATTATTTTATAATTACAAATTACACAATCGGATAACTGTTTGAAATCCGTATTTTTGTATAATCCGTATCATCCGTACGTACGTACTCGAACTACAGTTAATTCAGTAATTGCATTAACTGTAATTAATTATTTAAACCACAGTTAATTGTAGCTAACTTCTCAAATTATACATAAAGAAGAAAAGATACAGACAGATAAATATATATAAAAAAAGTCTAGGAATTTTAACAAGCAATAAGAAAAGAATTAAAGAAAAATTAGAGAAATAGTTAATTGTAGTTAACTTTTCAAACTACAAATAATTATAGTTAACTGTGAAACCTATAATTAACAGTTAACTATTAAAACTGTATAGATTATAGTTAATTACGGATTCGATTTTGTGCAACAATCCGTATTATACGGATTTGAATAATTATATCATTACCTAATCCACATTATCCGGATCACACCATTATTAAGGCCACATTTTTACGTGCCATCCCTGGGTTTATATGGTAAATGCGCAACTTTACTCAAATAGATTTTGTTATGTATTCAAAACTAATCAATCGAATGGTACATCATAATTAAACATCATGAGAAATTGCTATCTTTAGTTTTCACTTATCGTTACCAAATAATGCCCATGGTATGATTTAGAAAGGTCATGATTTAGAAAATGACATGATTTAAAAAATTGCTTGAATTATTCTTTATTTAAGTCAAGTTTTGAAATTACACTCTTGGGCACTCATATACAAGATGTTGTCAATTAAATATTCAGCTGTAGTCTTATTTATAACTGCAATACTTTTTAATATCGCGAATGGAGCCAATCCAAATTATATGCTTCAACTTGTTAATGCTGAACGTAAAAAATATAATTTACCTGCGCTGACTTTAGATTCGTAAGTTTATTATTGGTTAGATAATAGAAATAAAGAAAAGATTCAAGCAATAGATTGCTTAATATGATATTATGATTGGTCAAATATTATCTACTTAAATCTTTTTTATCATTAATATAATCGACTTACTAAAGCTGCCCAAAACCATGCTAATTATATGGCAAGCGTTAAAACGTTAACTCATGATGAAAAATCGGGAAATTTTAGCGTTAGGATTAAAGCCCAGGGTTATAATTGGTCTACATGTGGAGAAAATATTGCTTACGGTCAAAAAAGTGAAGTTGAAGTTATGAACATGTAAATATTAATATATCTACTTTTAAAATCAAAAAATATATCCTGATTATTGATTTATTGAATTATTTTAAGATGGATGAATTCTCCACCTCATAAGGCAAATATACTTGATACAACTTTCAAAAATTTAGGTGTGGGATATTCAAGTAATGGTAATTATTGGACTCAAGATTTTGCAGCCCCAATTTAAAAAGTCTAGCATAGCTAAAAAACGAGGCCTTTGTATAAGAAGTCTAATATAATTATAACAAATAATATGATCAATATTTTAATAAGGACTAATATTATACAGTCATATATCTCTACTTGGTTATATTTATTCTTATTTGTTATCATAGTTATATCTTCATATTTGTGTAAAATAAAAAGTCAATGAAAATTTTTTATATGTTATATACTGAGTTATATCTCAACCTTACTAATATCTTCAAAAAAATTAAAAATCATATTGAAAAAATAAATTTTGCTGTTTATATTCACAAAGGACTTAAACTTTAGGTATACTAATAATTAAAGCACAAATCTATAGAATGTTGCCATTTTTCTGTATTAGATTACATTTCACATTGGTTGTATGTCGGAAGAAAAAATCTGATTTTTACCACTAGACTAAATTCATACTCCGTTCAAAATGATAATGCTGTCAAACGAAAGCCTTTATATAATAATTTTTCGAACTGAATATAAAACCTTATTTTTGTGTCTCATTGATGGTGTATACAATATTATGGAATGAACCTGCAAATTATTTTAGTGATAAAAGACTTATAAAAATATATCTTTTAGCATTAAATTCTGAAGAACAGTTACAATTGATTCTTTTTAAAATTAAACTTCCAAATTATCCAAGGCCATTGTTTGAATATGAAATTTATATTACTGATTTAGGTGTAGTTTGCAAAACATATACATGTAATCAGTGTTGTCAATAGACAGCTTTGGACATGAGTTTGGACGCCTTTGGACAAAAATATAAATTAAAATTACTCAAAATTTTGTTAAGATAATACGCATATATACTTTTCTATGTGAAAAACATTCAGAACCCCAAAAAATATATAATCATATATTTTTTAGACAAATTTATTAATTATTAGAGCTTGGACATGCTTGAACACTTGGACATTTGACGTTAGACTTGGTCAAAAAAGCCTTGGACGGTGAAAAATGTACCCCAACAACACCACCAAAAAATCTTCTGTTACACAACATTCGTACTACATTTTGGCCAATAGCATTTTACATGCTCAATCACGTTATTTTAGTCAATAATTTTTGACGTACTAAAACATTTACCTTTTGTGTTACATTTAGATCGCTTACTTATCAGTAATATTTATAATAAAAATATTGTTAAAATAAAAAAAAAACTTTTCTTACAAAATATAATGATTTATAATAGCTTGTATAAGTGTGATCGATGCAATAAATGCTTTGATAAAACTGCTTTTGTTAGTAAAAAACGAAACCCTATAAAAATATGCAATGAATGTCAACAAAAAAATTTAAAAACTCATCATGATATAAGGCTTAATAACTGTATACCTTACAACAAAATCTTGTTAAGCCTAAAGAAATGAAAAAAAATTTATTTGAAGTTTATACTTGAAGTTGGAAATGATGAATACATTGAAAATAAAAATTCCAGTATAGAATTTTCATGTAAGATATCTACTATTTCTATAAAAAGCAAGCCTAATGAGTTTGGAAAGCAATTGCTGAAATAGTAGAACCTGCTGACAGATATTATTACATATAAGTATTGCATATATATGTATCATTATAATAATAATAAATATTTAATAATTAATAATTAATAATAAAACTATTTATTGATAAAAAATATTAGTTATTATAAAGTTTATAAATCTGAAAAAAATAATAATAAAATAGATGCAAATCATTAACTCTTTCCGACGATCACTTGTACCAAACTCTGCTGCAAACATTTGATTATTATTCAATATTTTAT